TGAAAAGGAAAGAACAAGATAGACACTTTAAGCCCCGTTTACACTAGCGATTATTGCGGCGATTTTTGCTGCGATAAATATATATATATATATTTTTTTGCGATTTTGTCCATTATAAATAATGGTGAAGAATTTGCTTGTAAAGTTGTTTTCAGAATACCAAGATTTTCCTAGACGAATGTCTTTTTTGAAGGATGAGACAAATAATTTCATATTTCCGAAAATTGCCACAAAAATCGCAGCAAAAATCGCCGTAAAAATCGCCAGTGTAAAGGGGGCTTTACCGCAATTTTCATAAACATGCAACTCTGTGTCTCCAAGTTGCAATCTGAAATTTGTTTTTCACTGGTGTCAGTAAAAAATATGAATGGTACCGACTGATTAGGTTTGATTGACGGCAGCGAAAAGCCAAATTTCAGCGTGCAACTTGGAGACACAGAGTTGCATGTTTATGAAAATTGCGGTAAATGATATTTATTGACCCTTAAATACTTTAATAATACCTGTTTCTGGTCATTATGTACCCAGGGATCTGTTATAAACAGCCGACTGAGGTGGTCTTAAATCAAATATTGGTATAACAAATTTGATGAAGATAGCTAATTATACAACATTTACATGGAAGAGAGCGACAAAAAATAATTATTTTTCCAAGAAAACTTAAAATGATTTTTTTTTCAGACACAAATTTAATCAAGAATATTTGTCTTTTGTATTGAATCAACAACGGACAAAATTAAGATATCCGAAGATATAAAAAATTATGTTAGGTAGATTGGCTGTGTTACAGATTGGTCGCCATGGTCCAAATCGTTTGTCGATTGACTCGTTCGGTATTTCTCTTTCACCGTCAAAAATCTCGAAATTTAAAATGCGTTACTGAAACGGAGTTTAAAAATCAATTTGTTTAAAAATAACATATTTATATAGATTATAGTTTCCGCTCAAAATAAAAAATGCCCACGACAAAACTCTCAAAAATAAATCTAAGAAAAGAAAAGAAAAGAGAAAAGGAGAGAGAGAGATATGAAACTCCATTCATAGGATATTAAATATTTAAATATAAAAAGAGACGAAAAGTAAGAGAAAGAGTAAGAAGAAAATAAGAAAAATAATAATTAAAGTTAAAGACAGAGAAAAGAGAAATGTAGAAAATTTAGTACTTAAAATGGTTAGTAAATATATTTTGATTTAAGTAGCATAGTAATACTAACAAAAGTGGGTGCACGTGTTAACTGAATACATGCTATTAACACGCACTAAAAGATTCAATTAACAATCATCGTTCAAGGAGTTTATAAGTTTCCAAAATATGTTTAAAATGCTAATTGATCTTTGCCAAGTGCTAATCTCTATTCATTATAAGAGAAATAATTGTTATATTCCACGTTACTTTCAATCCCATAACGACGATGTCTTTGCTTGTAAATCCTTGGAATGCGAAAGTTAATTTTCATTATTGTAAATGTTAAGAAAGCAATATCGAAAAAAATATTTGTTGCTCATGATTCAGGTTTGTAAAGCAGACTAATATTTCAGCCATTGTTCAATGATAATTGCATCTTTTTCAATTAGCGATAATTATTGAAAAAATTAGAATGCACTCACAGTTTCTTTCCCCATTTTGAAATTTAACCTTGCGTGTGCAGCGAAGCGAGGATGGCGATGACCTTGCAACGATATAGACGTAAATAATTCAAAATTCATAAACTCCGCTCATAATAATTTCCCAGACACGTCACTAAAAAGCCGAAAATGAATTTTAGCGTAATAAAAATTTGATCTTCAAAGGATTAGAATACAAAGACAAAATTAAAAGACAATAAAGGTTCGTTTACACAAGACGAGGTGTTATATTTTCTCAGTTCTTTAATTTGCACATTCTTTCCTGGCATACCTAAATCGCATCCATACAGTTACCATCGCTACCTATGTTCTAAGTAGTTCTCAATTAAAAATAGTGAAGTCCTTTTTGGGAATAAATCAGTAAATGGTGAGTAACGTCTAAGACGCGTCTCTAACTCACTCAAAAATGCTATCTTTTTCGTATAAATAAGTTTGAATTTACTTCAGACAGAAAATTCAAAGACTAAAGAGTACAGTCAAAGTTTTGTCATATATTAACAAAGATTTCGAGATAAGAATTTGGCTTTAAAACACCATACATTTTTCTGTTTTCTTAACTACTGGATAGTCAAAAGTAGAAATTTTGTCAGCTTACTCGAGTAGTATTATACCTTTGCCATGGTTACTATAAATTTGAAGCACTATGGAACGAATTTTATGGCCCAGTTCGCACATATCGTACGAATACCCAATTCAATGTACAGATGAAAAGACTCCATGAGACTTTGTCAACCACTTCAGACTCTAGAACGATTAATATACAAACGATACATAAATGATAGAACTAAGATAAGAAAAGCATGTCTCACTAGATCCCTTTATAATCTCGTGAAGTCCTAGCCTACTCGTGTAGAGGGGAACCTAAATGCCATTCAAAGAATAGCGAGGAAAAAATTGATTGATTTAGTACTAAGAAAAGATAACTAGCTAAAAACTAGTGTGAGCTGCGTCGGTGTTTCAGTAATGAAACAGTAATGATAAAAGGGTAAATTATACACCATGAAAAGATTAAAAAACGTACTGACGTTTCGGACGCTAGTCCTTCGTCGGAGTTAAAGAGGAATTAGTACTAACTCTGATGTTAAAAGCTACTTTTTGATTAAGGATTGGGAACATATTTGTAACAACTGGTTTCTACAGTGATTTGATATAGCTTTTTCTTGTAGCACACTAAGCGTCGAAAATCCAATTATTCATCATCGTCTTTTTATAAAGGATTTCATTAATGGGGGTAATCAGTGAATTTATAAATACACTGGTTGGGAAGTGCCGGTCTCTAAGATATTTTTAAATATTTCAAAAGAACAAAATAAAAAGCTATATTTGTAACTATCTTTTTACGAACTCCCTGCAACCAATTAAAGCCCCGTTTACACTAGGGATTTTTGCTGCGATTTTTTTTCGCGATTTTGTCCATAATAAATAATGGTAAAGAATTTACTTGTAAAKTTTTTTTCAGGTAACCAAGATTTTCCTAGACGAATGTCTCTTTTGAAGGATGCGAGACAAAAGATTTCACATTTCATAAAAATTGCCATAAAAATCGCAGCAAAAATCGCTAGTGTAAACGGGGCTTAACAAACCTTGAAATGAATGACCTTTTAAATCTCCTTTTGCTATTTTAATTAACCAGGTATTCACGATGGAGACTCACATACTTATGTTGGTAGCCATCTTTGGGGTGCTTTCTTATTCTCAAGGTAAGTCGTGATAGTACAGTCTAGGCTCCCAATTACCTACCCTTCAACCGACCAGCCAATCAATCAACCAACCCACCATCCCATCAATCAACCCACAAACCCACCAACCAACCGACCTACGTTCTTCTTATACATACAGCATTCTTACCTCACACTCAGTGCAAACGAACCTATGAAAAAGTCGGCGGCTTCATTGAGAAAGGTGATAGAACACTGACAGAACTACTTCTCAATGATCGCGATATAAACAGTGATGAGAACGATGGCCATATACTGGACTGGAATGCCTTTGAGGCATCAATACACAGGTAAGCGTAACCTGCCTAGGAGGTCTTACAAAACTGTACATCAAAAGATCTGACCCGGCCAGTCATCCTTTCTACTGAAAAGACCAAAAAAGAAAGCCTTGAAAATCTTGAAACCTTTTATCTTATCATACTTTTCAAGAACAAAAATAATTTATAATTTTGGCAGTTTGTTGGCCACCCATCCCCACTCTCGGTTTATTGGCATAGTGAGAATCCCAGCTAAGGTTTGAGAGGCGAGCGCACACCTTGGCGCATAAGTTCCCGCCGAAACCACGGGAATCCCTCGAGGGTTTTTCCTTTCGTTTAAAAAAAAACCACATTAAATAGAAACCTGGCGGAGGGGGAATCTCTCCCTCTACCTCCCCCTCCCCCTACGACACTGACTTGCATGTTAAGGGTTTAAATAATGTTTAAATAATGTTTTTTGATCATCATCAGTCTTGCCTGTCGATGCGCTGCCAAGGCCAAAGAAAAGGGCTATAAAGTGTTTGGCCTGCAATTCTTCGGGGAGTGCTGGAGCGGACCTACTGCTGAGGCCAATTACGCTAAGTATGGCGCTGCCGAGGCATCGAAGAGCTACCAGTTCACTGGGAACCCTCCCCCTCCGTGTGACAAATCTAAGGAGCAAGAATGTGTTGGTGGGCCGATGGTGAACTATGTTTACCGGCTAAAAGATGGTGAGCTAGGAGAATATTTACTTCTGGACTAATAATAGAGCATCTCAGTAGTAATTTAGGACGGAAATGTGGGTCTCTTAAATGAAAGAAGATGACGTTTTAGTTTCTATTCTCGCCAGGAGACTTTTCACCATTCAAGCCTATTGAAAGAAGAAATAAAAAGATGTTTTAGTCTGTATTCTCGCCAAGAGACTTTTCACCATTCAAACTCATTGACATTAACCCATTTTTTTATTTTAAATTTGCCCAATAGTCCCTTTCACAGTTCCCTGCGCCATCTTGAAAGGTAACCGTTCCTTTGCATCGAAGCGAGACGAACGCGGTGAGCTTGCAATGATAGAGACCTTTTTTAAACACCTTGGACAATTATTCACGTCTCTATCATTGCAAGCTCACCGCGTTCGTCTCGCTTCGATGCAAAGGCACGGTTACCTTTCAAGATGGCGCAGGGAACAGGGAAAAAATTGACGAAAAAATAAATCCAATGTTAAAGGAAATATTTTGCCTTTCATTCCTTCCTTGAACTGAAGCGAGGCTAAAGCTGACTAAATGAGCTTCTAATCAAGAAACACAGCGGTATTTTCCCAGTACAAAAATGATATTTTTTAATTATGAATCGTTCTTGTTTTTTCAAAACATTTTGTTTTATTTCATGACCAGAGCAACAGTCAGTCGATGTTGATGGTGGATACAGCAAGTGGAGTGACTGGACGGCATGCAGTAAGACCTGTGGTGGAGGTGTTAAGGGTCGAGAAAGGACATGTACAAATCCAGCACCAGAAGGCAAGGGGAAAGATTGCTCCCAGCTTGGACCCGCGGAAGAAACCGCAAGCTGCGCAGAAAAGGCCTGTCCTGTCCGTAAGTAAACGACACGAAAAACGTGCGCATGCTCTGAATCCGTATGTAAATTAGTCAAAACATTTGTAAATTTGACTTTCAAACATGCCGGATAAAATTGGACTTCACAAAATGCCAAAATTTAGTGTCCATGCTTGAAACTTAAGGCTAATTCTTTCATATTGTGTTTGTTAATACAGTATCTTGGTCTGACAAAAGTATACTCGCGAAATTTTTTGTATACTTGGAGAAAACAAACATTTGTTTTCTCACTCAAACTCTTCAAAATTCTTAGAAAACGTGCTGAAATGTACGCATGCGCAAACGTTTTTCTCTAGTGTTTAAGTAAACAGAATACAGAGATTTTGCAGCTTCACGTGATAATAAAAATATTTTATAAAGCGTCAAGTCCAGGAGTTCAACATTGCTTCACAATTTTAATACATTAGATTCACATAGTAATTAAATATGATCATACCTTATTCAATGAATTCAAACAATTTACTTAAGTATTTTAAGATTAGTTTTAGATTTTTTAAAATATAATTTTATTAGTAATAATAGAGGATCATTTCAATGTAATATCTAACTCACTCAGTTAGTTGACGTATATCTTGAATGGAAACCTTTTGCTTTGTAGAACCTGATTTTTCTCTCAACTGAGGACAAAAATGAAGTCGACATTTAACAAAATACATCATCAATATATTCAATTTAAAAAAATTCTAAAATTAAAAAGCAAAACTCCTTATGACTCTAACACTTTTGTCATTACACAGCTGCTGTTGATGGTAACTGGTCGCCATGGAAACTTTGGACAGCGTGCTCAGCAACCTGTGGAGGAGGAGTTCGAGTACGAGAGAGACTGTGTAACAACCCTGCACCACAGGGTGCCGGGAAGAAATGTGTAGGATCCGCTGAACAATCCGAGGCATGCGCAGACGAAGCTTGTCCAATTCGTGAGTAACTTTGTCTGTTCGCTGAGCCGTGTAAAACACATTATTTTCTGATTTATAATCTCACATCTTATAGGCAAATTTAACTTAAATTAGTTTTTCTGTGATTTTGTTTAGCTTGTGTCAAGGCTTTGGATATTGGTATAATCCTCGATGCATCAGGCAGTGTACGTGCTCACAACTTTAAAATCGCCTTGGACTTCATTCAAGATTTGATCAAGCATTTCCAGGTCTCACCAAAGGGAACCCACTTCGGATTTATCATCTATAGCGGAAAAGCAAAAGTGGAGTTCAAAATGTCTGACAGTCGTTACCATAACTTCAACAGCATTATGGATCGTATACGTTCAATAAGGTAACTTCAGTAAGAAGTGCAAGGCGTTCCCCTTGCATTTATACCAGCATTGTAGAGCAATAACAGATCTGGCCCTACTGAAATACTCACACATTTATTTTGACAGGAACCCTTTTATGGCTACACCTAAGCTATGATCCACCAACCCCTTAATACATGTTAAGTCCCTTCGAAGCAATTATTAGTTAAAACTCATTGGCGCGAGCATTGCAACATAGGGAAGGATTACAGTTCAATTTTGAGAACCTTATCATACCTTCAATCTTATTGCCGCAATCAATACAATTAGAAAGGAGCCGTCTGTAGTGAGGGAGCGTTGTGTGACGACAATACAGTACCTTCAATCTTATTGCCGCAATCAATACAATTAGAAATGAGCTGTCTGTAAGTGAGAGACGGTTGTGTGACGACACTATACAAATGGCTGCAGGGAAGACTGCAGATGTAATTATAATTAATAGGGTAACAAATATTGTTGGTGACACATTCTTCTTCTTGTTAGATACACTGGTGGCTGGACTCGTACGGACCGAGCTCTGGAAATGGCTGCAACTCAGCTTTTTACACCTGCAGGAGGAGACAGAAAAGATAAAGACAACATTCTTATCGTGTTTACTGATGGCAAGACGAACCGCGGCAGTAAACCTTACCCACAGGTGTTAAGACCTTTGCAGGTTGGTATTCAGATTCAGTTTGCTATCATTGAGATCGAGTGTTACTTGTTTGATATGTGTTTTCGGGATATCTATCCGGATTTGGGTCTTCTAGTTTTCTCCTTCAGTTTTGTCAACGACGAAATTTTAGTTTAGCGCGTTAAGTTTTGAGGAGGGAGGAAAACCAGAGAACCCGTAGAAAAAACCTCGAACAGACCTCTTCGGCTTGGGGTAATGTTTTCTCATTTCAGACCACGTGTCATTCCCTTGAGAATAAGATTCTTTGTTTGAGATGTATCCATACTCATGTGTCTTCTCATGTGAAACCGAGCGCAAACCTTAAACAAAGAAATGATACTCTAGGGAATGACGTGGTCTGAAATGGGAAAACATTACGTCAGAGCCGAAGAGGTCTATCAAGGGAGAGATCTAACAAACTCGTAGACTCGCTTGTTTGCGATATGATACGAAAACTCGTGAATAAAAACGATACCAAGCTCTTAAAATATGATAATCTATATTTGTTTGGTATTTTACTATAGGCAAAACATGTACGAAATGTTGCTGTGGGAATTGGTTCTGGAATCAACTTTGACGAACTGCGACAGATTGCTATGGGAGATCCCCACTATGTTGTCAAAGTCGACAGATTCTCAGATCTCAAAAACAAGCTGCAAGTAATTCTGGATGATTCCTGCCAAGGTATAGCATAATAAATAAAACTTACACAATGAAATCACACAAATAGTGTCTTAAGAAAAGGCTGCATCAGTTATTGAACTCAGTTGATTAAGAATCGGACTTCCGTGCTGGAGGTAGTGGTTCGAGGCCCAGTCGGACTAACACTCGTGGTCTTCATAAATACTATGGAATTATCAAATGCCGCCATGTTCATTCCCATGAGAACGAAAACCTTTGTTAAAAGTCGAGTATCCTCTGAGTCATTCTTAAGCACTTGGGAAAAATCTCTTCTCGGGGAAAATCTATCGTTTCAGCGAACAGGGCTGCAGCCGAAAAAAAAAAATTTACATTACGGTAGAATTATATCATGTGAATGATGTGCTGTTAACCTTTATATTTGTGAGTTGTAGTCAAAGATTACAGTGGTAATTAAAGAGACAGAAAAGGGACCAATAATAAGTTGAATTATTCTACGATTCATTTCTTCTAGGAATTTCTCCACCAACACCTGAACCAGAGTGCACTGTTCACGGAAAAGCACTTGGTATGGAGAGTCGAGTAATACCCGACAGCTCTCTCAGCGCCACAAGCGAATGGGACGCCAACCACGGTGCCGCTAGAGGAAGACTGAATTTGAAAGCAGGAGGTGGCAAGACAGGTAATTAAGAGTACTTTCGTATAACTGTGAAAAGGTTACGGCACGAACACGGTATTGACACGGTAAGGCATGTACCGTACCAATCACATTGCTCGAGAATTCACTCCCATCTAATCCTATACCCGGAACACGGCATAAGCACGGCGCGGACGTAACGCCAATGCACAAAACACCAATCACTTTGAGCAAGGAAAAAAAAGCCAGTTAAGAATCTAAAACAGCATCACGGTTACGGCACAGCACGCTGGTGGTCGCTTGCCTTGAGTGCCTGCAAGTTACGGACGAGACCTTCACGCGAGAAGTGGTTTTAAATTAATATTGAATTTTTTTTATTACAGGGGCATGGTCGGCGCGCTACAACGACAAGGGTCAGTACTTGCAAGTAGATTTTGGAAAAGCAGTCAAGATAACACGAGTTGCAAGTCAAGGAAGACAGGATCATAATCAGTGGATCACTAGCTACTGGTTATCGTATAGTCAAGATGATGGGTTGTACGATGCATACACCCCTATTGCACGCAAGGGAAAACAGGTATGTCGTCAAACATACATCAATTTTATCAAACCATGAGACAAACTCTGGGCTCAGTGATCAAAGTCAGGGCACGGGTAACTCGCAGATTTGTCCATCAGACAACCTCTGGGCTGATCAAAATCAGAGCACGTTTAACTCACAGATCGAACCCTAAAACAACCTCTGGGCTGATATGCCTAACTTAGTGATCGAACTCTGAAACAACCTCTGGGCAGGTCTAAGTCACGGCACGGCTAACTCGCAAAAAAATTGAGAGATTTAGTGTTTTAGGTATTATAGCTTGAGGGAGCAAAACGGGACAACCCGGAGAACCCGAATCAAGAGAGATACCTAACAAACTTTATGAGCTCGAGACCCCAGATTTAAATGAGAGGCAATAATACGTYGTCCGCTAGCTGAAATGGCGGGCTGCAAGAAAAGGCAATTTAACCAATCCCTTACTGGAATTGACTAATTTTTAGTGTTAAATATCGTTTTCCTTTTCTTTACGTTATGTGAATAGATTTTTGTTGGCAACAAAGATCGGAATACCGTTGTTGAACACAAGCTTGAGGTGCCTATTTTTGCTAGATATCTGCGCGTTCACCCTGAAACCTTTCGTGGACATATTTCCGGAAGGTTTGAGTTTTATGGATGCACCAAAGGTAAGAGCATCATCTAATCTTCTTTGCTGTCCTCTGCTCTCTTCGATATCCTCTTCTACTCTGCTGTGATCCTCTGATCTCTGGATCTATAGATGCACTAAAGGTAAGAGCATTATCCTCTAATCTCCTTTGCTGTCCTCTGCTCTCTTCGATCTCCTCCTCTTTGCTCTGTTATGATCTTCTGATCTCTTCTCTTCTCATCTCTGCTCTATTATTTTGTTAACCGAATAATCTATTTGTATTTCAGGATTCTCGCCTCCAGTTATCCCCACCTGTATGTCCGCTCTAGGTCTTCAATGTGGAAAAATCCCCGACTCAAAAATAACTGCATCTTCTGAATTTAACTCTGGCCATCGAGCAGCCAATGCAAGGCTTTACTTCCAGTCAGGAAAAGGCAGGACAGGAGCATGGTCGGCTAAATCCAACAATATTCATCAATGGCTTCAGGTTGATTTTGGGAAAGTGGCAAAGATACAAAAAGTAGCCACTCAGGGAAGACAAGAGGCTAACCAATGGGTAACAAGCTTCTACTTGAGTTACAGTCGAGAGGGGATCTTCTTCGAAAAGACCAAGGTACCTTATCAGCTATAACTCCCATATAATATTAAAAATATTAAGGTTTTATTTGTAGGACAGGCTGATTAATTTTTAACCTGCTTTCACTCACACTTACTCCCATATGTTGATTCACACGTTGATTTTTACGGAGGAAAGAAAACTACCGGAGAACCCGGAGAAAAACCCTCGTGGCACAGGAGGGAACAACACGTCAAACAAACTCAATTAACGTGTGGTGTCTAAATCTTGAATCAGGGATCCGACCCGTTGGACTGACAGCGTAAAAGACGACGCAATAACAACATACGCCACCCATGTCAACCTATTTTATCGATAAATTAATCAGAGTGTTTTATGAGAACTCAATGGTCTTTTGGAATCTATTGTCGTGGAAGAAACAATCCACTGATTCTTTCCTTCGATATGGCCGCCTCTATTACTGTCGTTCTACTCGAACCGTGAATACTCGGGTTTGTTAACCAATAGATTATGAATCGAAAACAATAGAATTTGAGTTACATGTATTGAAAGTCTACAAAAGCTATTCAAAGAGATAAAATGATGAAAGGAAAAGAAAGATTAAAGTATATTTATACAAACAAACAAACAAACAAACAAACAAACAAAAATAAAAATAACTGGATTGTCCAAGGTTAGAAGGGAACGACAGTAAGCCTTAAAACCTTATTTCTTTGTTATTAGGTTTATGGTGCCAATTCAGACCGCAATTCTGTTGTAGTAACCTCCATCAATCCACCTATCTACGCTCGTTATGTTCGCATTCATCCTGTAGCGTTCTACGGTCACATTTCTTTGAGAGCCGAGTTCTATGGTTGTACATCAGGTAGGTGGTCGTTTTCTTGTTATACGAGTCAATAACATAAAACGAAAGCTAAGTCGAAAACACATTTCATTTAAAGCTAGCTATTGCTGAATTTTGAGATGTTACAGGAAAACTCATCCATGGGTTATGTTGATGGACGTTTCTGTGGATTTGGCGCCAACTACCGAAGTCCATTAGAAAGTTTGATGCAACTCTTTTTGACATTTTATTATAGCTCACCATTTGTTTGATCTAAATTCTGAATCAAATAGGTTTCGTGCCACCTGCGCCTCGTTGTGTCGCTCCCCTTGGAATGCAAGGCAGATCTATCCCTGATTCCAGGATCACAGCCTCTTCAATGTGGAATGCTAACCATTCACCATCCCGGGCAAGACTCGGTACAGTTAAACAAGGCGCCAAGAGGGGTGCGTGGTCAGCAAAAAGCAATGATGCTGGCCAATGGCTACAGATAGCTTTTGGCAAAGCTGTCAAAATCACCAGGGTAGCAACTCAAGGTCGTCAAGATTATAATCAGTGGGTGAAGACCTTCAGCTTACAATACAGCCAAGACGGAAGCCATTTTGAAAACTACGAAGGTGGCAAAGTGCTGACAGGAAACGCGGATAGAAATACCATAGTTGGCCATGTGCTTCTTACTCCTATAATCGCAAGGTAAACTCTAATAAACTCTAATATCATAATTGTACTTATTTTTGAAACTACACAAACCCAATTAGAGTCTTCGGGTTCGATCTGTAATCCGTTTAGCCGTGTCCTAACTTAGATCAGTCCTGAGGATTTTTCAGGGCCGAAAAATGAAAAATTGAAATTTGAGACCTAAGACCTTTCACTCAATATCTTTCAGATATATTCGCGTTCGACCTAAATCGTGGTATAGACATATATCAATGAGGCTGGAACTGTACGGCTGCACGACAGGTAACAAAGTCATCGAAACAAATAGGACGTTTGCATGATGGCGTCATTTGACTCCCACTACCAAGATGCTTTGCGAATTTTCTTTCTTATTTAAATTTGTATTCCTTCATGAGAATAGTAAGACAATTGGTGTTAATTAACTGAACAAAAGAAAGCATGCAAGGGAGTCTGGTAGTAGAGGTCAATGACGCCATCGTGCAAACGTCCTATTGTTAGTCTCTCTATGTCCACTAACATGGCCACCATGTTTTTGGTTATTTCGCTCTCTTTAAAATTATCCTAATCCTCCTATGCGTGTAGCTTGTGGCCCTATTTTATTGAACTCAACAACATTTTTCAAAGTAATTAAGTACGGTTGCTTTCTATTAGGCTTCCCCGTCCCACCAACACCAGCTTGTCTAAAACCTCTGGGTGTCCAAAGCAAAAAGATCTCAGATTCTCAGATGTCCGCCTCTTCGGAACTGAACGCTTACTATGGAGCAAAATATGGTCGACTTCATTTACAAAAGAGCGGAAGAATCGCTGGCTCATGGACTGCATTGCGCAATAATCGTCATCAATGGCTGGGGGTCGACTTTGGTAAGGTCGCTAAGGTAACAAGAGTTTCCACTCAAGGTAGCCATGGTTACCGCCAATGGGTAACAAGCTATGCCCTGGAATACAGTTTAGATGGAGCGGATTTCAAGACCTACAGAATTGCAGGAAAACAAAAGGTAATAGCTCCATTCACAGTTCCTTGTACAATTTGAAAAAATAACCATGCCTGGGTGACCTCGTTTTGACAGCCCATCAAAAACCAGCCAATCGTCGCGCAGGAAAAATCCGATCAGGCGGTCCATCGAAAAAAACATGCCGACCGAAGTCAGAAAAAATTATTCTGAATCTTTGCTTCCCTAGCTACGTTATGGAATAGCAATACATTTGAAATTCTACCTATTCTTATGATTAATACCTATGGGTCAAGTGGTGCTTTGTGGTTTCATTTTCTTAATGAAATTATCGTGAAATGATAGCTCTTTGTTCGCCGATAAACAACTGAAACTAGGACCGCCTCATCAACTACAACAATCCTTTGCGCGCGTTACCCGAGATCACCTGGTCATTTCGAAGCGAGACGAATGGCGAGCTTGCAATGTTGGAAGCATGTGAATAATTGATGAAGGTGTTAAAAAAGAACATGTAGAAGTGTCCGCACAATCAAATATTTGAAATGCTTACAAATAACTCTTTTCATCGATAATAGATATTCGCCGCAAACAGAGACCAACACACAGTTGTAAGTAATTCGCTTCCAGCTGCCATCTACGCTCGTTACGTTCGACTACGTCCTCTCACTTGGTATAGACGTATCTCAATGAGAGTCGAGGTTTACGGATGCACTTCAGGTAGGAATTATTTGATTAACAGATCAAAAACAGTTTTCCGTGTTTGATACTCTGATCAAAACACGCGGGATGTTGGGAGAACACGAGAGGAGCGTAGGAAACCACGACGCGTAGCGTCAACAAACGCGCGAAAAGATCGAAAAAAAGCAAAGTCTAAGTAAATTCTCCCTACGTGCCGTCTTATTCAAACTGACCAATGAGCGCGCGCGATAGATTAAAAATGACGATAGCGTGTTTTGATACTCTCATCAAACATGGTTTTCGACCAATCATAGCGCGCGTAGTATCCCAATTTTTTAAAATAATATACAGTCAATGTCATTAACGTCGTCCACCGAAAGAAGACATTTACACATTTAGATATTTAGACTAAAAGAAATATCACGTGTTTCCCCGAACGTTCTGGCATAAAACAAACGCTGAAATACCATTCTCCATCTTAAAACCTCATCCAATTGGCGGGGCATTCTGGATTTTCGATTCAAGAGTTGTATTTTACATTTAAAGTTCAGGCTGACGCACACGAGGCAAAGAATACATAATGAAACACGTGATATTTCTTTTAGTCTAAATGTGTAAATTTCTTTTTTCGGTGGACAACATTAATGACATTGACTGTATATTATGATTATATATTATGAATATATATTATGAATATATATAATCAAAAAATATATTATGAACATAATAGATTTGAAGCTTGATAGACAACATGCAAAAAAGTTTCACCATGCATTCTTCTTAAACTAGTTTTATTAAACAGATTTCTGTAACGATTCAAAATAATAGGTCCAGATTTCAAACCACCCCCCGTACCAAAATGCACCTCTCCTCTTGGCCTACAAAACCACCTCGTCAAAGATGCCCAAATGTCAGCTTCCTCTGAGTGGAGTAGAACTCATCGTGCAGGATATGCCAGATTATATGGATCAGGACATAGATCTAAGGCTGGATCATGGTCTTCAAGGGTGAACAACGCTGATCAATGGCTTCAGATTGACTTTCTCAAGAATGTCAAGGTCACGGGAGTGGCTACCCAAGGGAGAGAGGATTATAACCAATGGATAAAGGACTACTCGTTGTCTTACAGCAGGGAGGGAATATTCTGGCATAAGTATGAACAAGGTGGAAAGGTTTGGGTAAGTATCTGTCCTCAGTACTCCAGTTTCGAGTTTTCTGGTACCCAGGGTTAGTCTCTGTCAATTTTGTGTAAAATATACCTGTGTGTTTTGGAGATTTTGGCCTAAGGGACTGTTCATTAATTATGCCTCAGGGTGGGCTGGAGGGAAAATCGAAAGAAACCTTGGGAAAATTCATAACCCCCCCTCCCCCAATTCTATCTAAACAATATTTTTTGGACCCTCCTCCTTGTGACCTTTTAGACATACCTTAATTATTTGTTTCAACCCTCCACCCCTTTAAGTCAGCAAATACTATTAAAGCCCCCCTTCTTTGTGTGATTTTTTTTCAAAGCCTCCCTACTTTTCCTCCACCCCCCAAAGGCATAATTAATGAACAGTCCCTTATATAGATCAAAATTCGGATTCAAATTTATCCGGCATAATGTGGAGGCCCCAGTCTGCCCCCCCTTCTTTTCCCCCCCCCCCCCCCCCCCCCCACAAGGCATAATCAATGAACAGTCCCAAAGGCATATTTAGAATTATTTAAAAAAGTAAGAAAGGGTGGACGAATACCAACAGTTTTGTACACCATTAATAATTATACCAATATATATATATATATCTTGTCCTCGTAATTAGAATGATTTGAATGAATGTACTAAAACTCTTTCTGTAAAATTATTCAAATCAGCTATCAAGTCAGGCTACCTCAAATCAAGAGTTAACTCAAATAGACTGTCTTATTAGCGTATTTATTTATTAGTTTTGCATTATAGTATCTATATATATTTATTAGCGTGTCACTTTGTTGATTTTTTTTCTATCATTAGATAATGATAATTGTAATCTGCAAATGATAATAAATAATAATGATAACTTAATCTATAAATACGATAGAACATTGTTACTCAACTACATTAGCTTTTTAGTTACTTTGAGTAAGGCCCCGTCCAAACGTATCCGGAAATTTTTGTATCCGCAATTTTTGTTTTACGGATACGGGTTGCGTCCACACGTGTCCTCAAATTTTTGTGACTGTATCCGCAAATTCTACGAAAACGGACACGTGTGGACAGTGAGAACGATTCGAATACGCTGCGTGTGGACGCAAACATTTTCGTATCCGCAAAAAATAATTTGCGGATACAAAAATTTCCGGATACGTGTGGACGGGGCCTAGGATTTACTTATTATTTGTATGCTTTTTCTAATTACCTTGTAATTAATTGTAAATTAATATTCATGAAAAAAGTAAGAAACTTGTCGCTGTTGTTTCGTAATGTTTTTTTTAATACATTACATAGTTGTTCAAAGGAAATAATGATCGCTATACAGTGGTGCGCCATCAACTAGAGACGCCGTTTGTTGCGAGATATGTTCGAATTCTACCCAAGCGCTATCATGGCCACATATCGATGAGAGCTGAAATCTTTGGTTGCCGTGAAGGTAGGTCAAAGCTGCTTAAACAAAACAAAGCAAATACATTTCATATAAAATTTGATAAAGTACCGCCGTGCCGTGTTCAAGCGTTTTAATTTGGCAAACAGTGATTTCGATAAGTTGAAATGCTTTAGAATCTTTTATATTTTGCTATATAGAGAAAACGCACCTCTGCATGGTTTAGACTGATTGCATTGATTTGATAAGTAATATATACAATATGAGTGGCCGTGTTGTATCAGATATACAACCACGAGCCGAAGGCGAGTGATTGTATATCTGATACAACACGGACACGAATATTGTACATTACTTATGAAAGTCTAGGTGTATACATTCATGTTCTACTATAATTTTAAAGATAAAATTGAATTTGGCTAAGAAAATTGGAGTTAAAGTTTATGCAAATCAGGACGATTTTGTATCAGATTTACAACCTCCTCCACGGACATTGATTTCTATTGTGTTTTCCTCATTAATTATTTAATGAGTTTTATAATAAATAATAATAAATATGTTTATTTACAGTAAGCAGTTACAGCTGCGAAAAAAGATACACTGATAACCCAGTTCCCCTCTATTAGCCCAGCCATTTCGAGGAAGAAAAAAACTGGCTCTAGTTGACATTGGAGTGTATTTTAAGTCTGTTGTAGCGGACATATTTTCAAGACCGATTCTATTTGTTCCTCTAAAAAAGTAACCAAATGCACTGCATTCCTCAACCTCGGAATGATTAACATATTTGACGGACATTTTAGGTGCTATTTGTTTAGCTCTTGTCACTCTTAAGGCCCGTCCACACTATGCCGGACTAATTTGAATCCGAACTTTTATTTATTCGGGTCCATTTCAAAAATTCGTTTTCGGTGAAGAATTGTTCCGGATTCGCCCGGACTCGTGTGGACGGTAGGCCCAACTGAATAAATAAAAATTCGGATTAAAATTTATCCGGCATAGTTTGGACGGGGCCTTAATAGTAACAGTAAAATGATTGCCTAGTGTGTTATTTTATGAAACTTTGTTAAATTCTAGGTTTCACTGTTCCACCCGTGCTATGCGCTTCTGCCCTGGGAATGCAAAGCAGAGCAATCCCAGATTCCCGTATAACAGTCTCCTCAAAATGGGATAGTAATCATGGCCCAGATAGAGCAAGACTTGGTGCTACAAGATCCGGACGCAAGATTGGTGCCTGGTCTGCAAAGTCTAACGATGCAGGTCAATGGATCCAAGTAGACTTGGGCAAAGTTACCAAGGTGACGCGTATTGCGACTCAAGGCCGTTCGGATTATAGCCAATGGGTCAAGACGTACCTTCTACAGTACAGCACCAATGGGGTACAATTCTCAAATTATGGACTTTTGACCGGAAATAAAGACAGGAATACAATTTCTGGCCACCTCCTTGATCCTCCCGTTATTGCAAGATACATTCGTGTCCTTCCTAAGACTTGGTATGCACACATTTCGATGAGATTGGAAGTCTATGGATGTACCCATGGTAAGAATCAGACTTGACTGAAGAAAAAGATTTGAATGCGCTTTGTTTCGTAAAGCCTGGTTCACACCAGCGTCGTAATCGGAAGCACCTTACGCATGCTCAGTGGTGTACTGGTCTTTAACAGTGCTTGTCTAATTTCACACTTAGGAAATAATTGCTATACTGAGTCTGCGTATGTGTGTTACGATTCCAATTCCTAGGCTCAAAAAGCGCCTAAAGCACTCAAGAAGTGCGAGCAACACTCGGCTTACGGCTTGTGCATTAAAAAAAAAAATAAAAAAAAATCGTGCTTATGTCACTTGCTGCGTGGTTCATTACTAAATGAATACGGAAAAAGACGTTTGATTTTTTAAGTGTTTTCATCTGCTTTCATTGTAATTCATCAGCTATACAGCCTACTCATCCACCCTGCTTGCAGCCTCTAAGCATGAAAGATGACCAAATGTCTGCCTCAACAATCTGGCACTCGAGTCACAGAGCAGCCAACGGCAGGCTTAACTTTCACGCAGGACGAGGAAGGACTGGCGCATGGTCAGCACGACGCAACTCTGCAAATCAATGGCTTCAGGTCGATTTTGGAAGAATGGTTGAGATAAGGCGAATCGAGACCCAGGGTCGACAAGATGCCAACCAATGGGTCAAAACGTATACAGTTTTGTATAGTAACGATGGGCAGTTTTGGAGAGCCTATTCCGCTGGAGGACGTACTAAGGTAAGATGTTTTCAAACATTTAACAGTTAAACTCGCAGCCCGAATGGCCTACGAGTCAATAGCCAATAAGGTCCATCCTCAGGGCGAGCGAGACGTCTATTTTTTTTTAGTATAAAGCTACGTATGATAAATTGGTCAAACCAATGGATGCAAATAATCCGTCTTGCGTTGTTTTGGATTTTAAAACCCTCACTTTTCTTTAGTAGTGTTCTATCACTAATAGACCACTAGTGTGCGATTTTGTATGTTGGCTTTATATTAGACCTTATTCGTGGTGTGACAATGTTTTCCCAATTCAGCGTGACATACCTCCAGAGGATTCATTTTCTTTTGTTTTTACTCTTCGAAAAATTCATGAGTATCCCAAAGGATATGAAAGGAATAACGATGATATCCCGACGAGTTGCAAAACAATAGCTCTTTATTATTCCCCAAGAGGTTTGTCACGTTTAAATGGGAAAACATTGTCACACCACGAATAAGGTCTATTGTAAACTAAATGAAACCACTATCTATCTAGTAGTTGATCAGCCAATTATGCTGAACGCAGGATATCTGATAGATCAGTAAATCATTAGGTTTATAAAAGAAAAACAAAAACTAAAAAAAAAAAAAAAAAAAAAAAAAAAAAAAAAGACCAGAAGATGTTGGTCGTACGGTTATTCTGATTCCACGATTTGTTAGGGTTTTTTTAATGCAGTTTATAATGTTTTCCTTCTTGCACAAAGCTAAAGCATTGAATTTCAGTTCCGTCTGTTACCATGAGTCATATGTGCCCTGACTTATATCCCAGCTCCAATCAAAACAATCAATCACATTAATTGCCCTATTTCACTATGACGTCACACCAAAAAAAATCTAGTTTAAACGCAAAGGATCATGGTCGTTGGAGGGGTCAAATCAACGCAAACCCGTATCAATCCACAAAGAGAAGTAGAATAGTCAGCAAACGCTAAGAATATTTTTTAGTACATACAAACACATACTATATCTGAAAACCAGGCCATTTTAGATTAAACTGTTTCGCTAGGAGAAAATTTTGTTGAATTTTCTATTGCATTTGGCGATTGTATCCCCCACATAAACAAGCAGTGACGTCATAGTGAAATAGGGCAATTTAAAAAGATTATTTTTTTAAAAGAGAGAGTGACAGTAATAACTGATAAACTTGTTGTCCTAGTGCTTAACGCCTTTGGAAACGGGTACGCCATTTAACGTGGCCAAGCCACGACGAAAGTCTAACCATTTTCAGATATTTTCAAAAGAGAGGAAACATCTTTTACTCACCTTGACTCCTTGGTCCGTTATATTAAATATTGTCCAATTTTATTCTCGATTCCGGATATAGGTATTTAGTGGGAACTTTGACCGTTACACCGTGGTTGGTCACAACTTCGAACCTGCGATCGTCACTCGCTATATTCGAGTAAACCCAACCGCCTGGCATGGTCATATCTCCATGAGGCTTCAATATTATGGCTGCACCTGTGAGTATACGAGAGTATGATTTTTATCGATGAAATACCAACATAAAGAGCTATCCCACTATAAGAAGTCTAGTATTAACCATTAGTATTTTCGTAATTATTAGCAAATAAAGTAGTACCTCAAGAAACCTGCCGTGTACCTCTAGGAATACAGAAACGAACCATCCCTGATTCCAGTATCACAGCCTCTTCAATGTGGAATGCTAACCATTCACCATCCCGGGCAAGACTCGGTATAGTTAGACAAGGCGCAAAGACAGGCGCGTGGTCAGCAAGAACGAATGATGTTAACCAATGGATACAAGTAGATATGGGCCGAGTTGTCAAAGTAACTCGTATCGCAACACAAGGTCGTCAAGATTATAACCAGTGGGTAAAAACCTATGCAGTGCAATACAGCATGGATGGAGGTCATTTTGAAGACTACCAAGGAGGTCGGGTTTTAACGGGAAATAGTGACCGTAACAGTATAGTTGGCCATAGTTTGGAGCCCGCCATTATTGCAAGATACATCAGGATCCGTCCCAAGTCTTGGTATGGACACATTTCTATGAGATT